TGAAGATCACTGATGCGAATATTATCTGCATGTCCATACCTCTGCCTCAAATCATCCCAAAGAAGCTTGGCATTGTCTTGTGAAGAGACACTGTTGACCAGGCTAGGATCCAGAGACCCAAGAATCATGAAGTAGACCGCTGTGTTACTCTGCTCCCAAACTTGGTAGCTTTCGTGCGTCAGATTTGGAACGGGAATAGCCCCTGTGATGAATCCAAGCTTGGTTTTGCTTTTCAGAGCAACTCGAACAGTTCTACTCCATAAATTGTAGTTAGCTGTGCCTGTAAGTTTGATAGGAAAACTCAAGGCTTCATTTGGGTTGATGTAGAAAGGATTTGTGACTGTGTTGATAGGAATCGAAGCAACAGTCGACGTCGACGACGACATAGCTGAGGCTGCCTCCGTCGACATTGATGAGGTAAACGAGAATCAAATAGAAAAATTCTCAAGAAGAAGAATGCGGGATTGTTGAGTCTGAAACCCTAGTTTTGGTAACCGGCTCTGATACCATGTGAAATTCAGACCCAGGATATTGTAAAGGAACCCGCAGGATCCTATGTGGCTCAAGGCCTTTCCATATATACTCAGCATCTACAACTCCTTCTTCACGAAGGGAAGAAATTCACCCTATACAGCTGTACAACGGTAACAAACAGAAAACAAAACTACCAACCAATCTAAGTGAGACACGTAGCTGTACAGTAAAAACGGAAAAAGAAAAGATGCTAAGTTAAACGATGTCGTCTCTACCCAGCTCCTCACTTGCTTCTGGGGGAACTACGACGTCGTCTTCTTTCATTCTGCAATAAATCATGTTCATCTTTGCCTGGACTGTAATTCATCTAATATATTTGCAGTTGGTGTATTTTCCAGGTTCTTTATTTTATTTTCACGAGGTCTTGGCCATTTAACAACCAGAGCCAGCAAGCCCCAATTGAATCTCCTCTCCTGTGTAATATTCCAGAACAACTAGATCCTCCACACATGACTACAACACAGCTGGAAGCAGCAAAAACAGACTATCTACAACAATGAAACTTATTTGCATAAACTCCAGTTCCAAAATTAATTACATATACCTGTTGCTTTGACCGCAGGGAAAAAGCTACGAAGTTATAGCAAAAGTTGGAGATGTGAGGGAAGATTGGAGCTACATAAGCTGCACTAAATATTGCCGCAAGAAAATACCGTCTGGAGAATTGGAGTTTTGATGCTTGAAATGCATCCTCAACACACTCAATGGTATTCCGATAACAAAGCTATAACCAAGAACAAAATTGCAGGTACTGAGTCACTCTATTAATGAAGGACAATATAGGCGTAGCCAAGCTTTTTCTACTAGGCCATATGGGCAACTCATGAGAGGTACGTAAAGAAGGCCTGTTTTCCATAAATGTCGACTCCATGTTGCATACTATATACACATAAGTAGAGCTTGATAAGAACATTCAATCCATTGTTGTCCAAGTAGAGCTTAGATAAGATATATCCATTGTCATCCAGGTAGATTTATGCATTGCAAATAGACCTGGCAAATAAGGACCCGACCCGTTGACCCGACCCGAACCCGCCCGAAAAATAGAGAATGGGTTGAGGTTTTTATAACCCGAAACCCGAATGACCCGAACCCGATTAACCCGTAGTTTTTTGGGTCGGGTTGGGTTGGTTTGTGGGTCGATCCGCTAGACCCGTTTCATTGCATATGTCACTCTCAACATGATAAAATCACTCAATACTTTGGTGAGATGTTTAAAAAAATTAATTATTATTTGAAAGACAAATTTGGAGTGTTAAGAAAAGATAATCAAACATCATTTGGTTATTGTAGTAGTATTACTTTCGTCATTGTTTTTTGACAATTTGTGCAATTTGTATTTCTTTTCATTAGCATGGAAGGAGTTGAGCATTTGTTAATTGACATGTGCTAGGCAAACTATTGTCGCACATACGTAAAAATTTTGTTCTTTAAAAATTTATGAAGTATGTTTGATATTGTTTCTGAGAACGCTCATGACCCGAAATGACCCGAAACCCGACCCGAAACCCGATGGGTTCGGTCAATATTTGACCCGAAATAAGCAAACCCATCATGACCCGACCCGTGAAGACCCGTAACCCGAGATTCTCAACCCGAAATTACCCAACCCGACCCGATTGCCAGGTCTAATTGCAAAACAAGATTTTTTGAACCTTCCCCACTAGAAAAAAGATATTACTAATTAAACAGTTATGCAGGAGGGTGAAGAACAAAGAAACACCACCAACAAGTAAATTCCTCAGCATCAACTCGACAAAGCAATCTGTCCGCCAATCAACCCATTGTTTTCAAGGCAGTAAAAAAAGTACAGAGGCTAGATTTGAAGCAAGAGTCTCCCACGCCATTCAACAACATTTATCATGATTCTAACTCATCTAATTCTTTCTGTAACTAATCAAATTCAGCAATTCAATCATTTCAATTCCATTCTATTTCCTACACTTCTCCACATCCGGAAACCAACGAGGAAAGGAAAATCAAGTTCGAAATAGGGAGGGGGCGTAAAGAGGGAAATGCCACTGGAGACTATCTGGCACCGAGAGGGAACATATATACATGGGCGTCGTGGGCTCAAGATAGGGTGCATAACCCATGGTTATGCACCCATCAATAACCAAATCTGGACCCTTTATTTAGAAAATCCAGATCTAAGAATGGAGAATTAAAGGCTATTTTTATTTTCACTAGCTTTCTTAATTGACTCATATCTTTTTCGTTTTAACTCGGATTTTAATTTTTTTTTTTGCACAGATGGAACGAGTTCACCGTACTCTACAAAATGAGATCAATTTTCAATATTTTTTTAGGAAAAAAAATTCTGTCCTCTCGGTACCAACTGCATACCATATGGTATCTTCTTCGTTTTTAATTCGTTTTTGAAAACGTTTGCACAGCAGGGATGAGTTCATCATGATCTACTGGATCTACAAATTTCTTGGTGAACAAATTACAGGACCAAAAAATACCACACAATACCATACAATACCACCCTGGTACGGGGTGGTATTGTATGGTATCTTCTTTGTTTTTAATTCGTTTTTGAAAACGTTTGCACATAAGGGACGAGTTCATCATGATCTATTGGATCTACAAATTTCTGGGTGAACAAATTACAGGACCAAAAAATACCACATAATACCATACAATACCACCCTGGTACGGGGTGGTATTGTGTGGTATACAATGTTAAAAGTCGTAAATTACAATTAATATACTTCTACTATCATGTATTCAACCATCCTACAGTATTGGTTTGTTCACACCACCATGATACGTTTTTCAAAACATAGGTATGCTTTTATTTCAATACCAGTCAATACCATATGGTATAGGCTGGTAAAAAATGGCTCAATTTTTTTTGTTCGAAAAATATATTAAAGTGGATATCATTTTGAAGAGCACAATTAATCTGATCTAACTGTGCAAAAAAAATTAAATTTCGACTTAAAATGAGCGAGAAATCGTCCGTCAAAGATTAAAGAGGGAAAAATTAAAGGTTTTCCATGAGAGAGAAGATGCTGATGTCATGCTGATGTGGACGGGTTACTCATGGTTACTCACCATAAGGTTACTGACCTGATCCATTCCCGGCGTCGTGATAGACCACTATTATTGAATATATTATGCAAATTAGGACATCAGTCCTACTCAAATGCATTCTAAGTAATACCCGGCCAAAGGCCGGGCACCAAGCTAGTAATAAATTATTACCCTCCTTCTTCTCTTACGATCCCTTATTCCATCTCCCATCTCTCTCTCGGCTGTTCCCAAAAGAAGAAAACCCCAGCCGTGTCCGTCTGCCTCCCCGTCTCTACAATACACCGCCAGTATACGCAACTGATAGATGCTCCTCGTCGTCCCTTTCTCTGTCGTTAGTACAATCTTCGCCGGCGAATTGGGAGTGCCCAATGACGATGCATCCACTGTCTCTCAGAGTCTCGAAGTGGTGGAGAGGATAGAGTCAGACTTCGGGCGAAGGTAACGCTAATTACAGTTGCAATTTTGGCCTCTATATGTGTAAAACCATGGGTATATTCTTCTAATGGATACAGATGGAAATTGTGGGGTTAGATTTGGGGTTGATGAGTTATATATATGGTCATATATATATATGGCGAGTTTTACGGTACACTGGATAAAATTCGGGGTACCGCATACCTTGAGTATGAAAACACTATTTAGACCATGATTTGATCAATTTTTTGGACATGATACTATTCTTTAACCCTTAAAGATCAAAATTTAGGTCTTAATTCTCCCAATCTTATACTCCAAGATCAATTTAATTAGAAACAATAATCGAAGGTTATGATTCGGTCACATATAGGCACAAAAAATAATGCACCATCATAGAGTTTATAGATTATGATTTAGATAATTAGGACATAGGGTTCACTCATTAAGGGTTAGGGTATTGTATTAGACTCAAAAATCCTGCTAATTCGAGGTCTAAATAGCGTTTCCATACTCAAGGTATGTGTTACCCCGGATTTCACCCAGGGTACTCTAGAAGTCACCATATATATATGGTTAAACAATTGGGGGTTGTTAGCTGTGTTATAATGATGATTAGTAATGATTTGAGGAGGGGAAGTGCTCAATGGATTTGGCCTCAGTTAAAGGCATGTTTTGCATGTAGGAATATATATATAAGGTTTACATAGGGGTGGGCGTTCGGTCGATTCGGTTCAAATCGAACCGAATTAGTACATGCCGATTTTCCGAAATTACTAATACCCCAACCGAATTCGAACCGAGCTATATTTCGGTTCGGTTTGTCCGAACCGAAATATAACTCGGTTCGGTTCGGTTTTTTCCTCAAACCCGAATTTATGAAGACTTCCCCTTTATCTCCCTCTCTCCCCACATATTAATCCTTCCCATCTCTCTCTCTCTCTCGTCTCTCCTTATCTTCCCACTTACAATCTGTTCCCCACTTGTAAAAAAAAAAACAATCTGTTCCCCAGATTTTCCCTCAATCAATCAATCTCTCCCTCTCTCATCTCTCCTCTATCTCCCCAGAATCTACTCCCCTGATTTTCTCTTGATCAATCTCTCTCTCATCTATCTCCCCACTAAGAATATGCTCCCCAGATCAATCCTTCCCTTAATCTCTCTCTCTCTCTCTACTCCGGCCCCAAACTTGGCGGCAACGACGATTTACTGAGTGAACAAGGCGGCTGCAACGGCAACCACGATGGCTATCGATGTAGTGAACAACGCGGCGCGGCAGCGGTAGACGGCGATGAAGATCCTTGCACCTCCCCCAATCTACCTTCTCTTCCTCTCGATCTATTCCTTTTCTATTTTGATGCATGTGGGTTTTTATGTTTTATTTTCGTTATATGGCAGGCACTGTGTGAGGAGAAGAGAACGGGGAGGAGTGTTTGGTGGAGTGAGGGAGTGGATGGCGGTGGCGGGATTCAGAGCGGCGGCGAGAAGAACGGCGGTGGTGGGATGTGGAGCGGCGACGGTGGATGAGAGCCGAGAGGGTTGGGCTGTCTCTTTTTTATTTTATTAGGGTTAGCTGTTAGCATAGTGGTTATGGGCTGAGGAGTGGGTGAGAATATGGGCCGAGGCCCAGTTTTAATTGGGATGAGGTATGAATATGTGGGCTGGATGTATTTATTCGGTTTTTCGGTTCGGCAATCGGAATTTCGGGTTCGGTCGAGAGATCCTGGTTTCCGAAATATGTCTATTGTGTTTCCGAATTCCGAACCGAAAAGTATTATTTCGGTTTCGGTTCGGTTGTAAATCGGTTCGGCTCGGTTCGGTTCGGGTTTCCCGAACCGAGTGCTCACCCCTAGGTTTACAGGAACTAAGGAATAATTTTAGAGGTGGCAAATGGATTGATCCATGGATTGGTGGATTGGATTGGTGGATCCATGGATCAAATGGATTGGTGGATTCATGGATTGGATCAAGTGGATTGGTGGATTATCCATGAATCCAAATGACATCCTCAATCAAGGACCAATATGTAAAATGTAAAAAGTTTAGGTACTAAAATGTCATAATGAAAAATTTTAGATACCAAAATGTAATTTTCCAATGATATTTTTCGTATAAAAAATTAAATTTTGGGTACCAAAATGTAAAATATAAAAAGTATAGGTACCAAATCGTAATTTATCATTTGGATTCATTGATCAATTCATGAATCCACCAATCCAATTGGATTTGGATAAAATGGATGGGATTTAAATAGATTGGATTAGGTGGATATTTTTAATGGATTGATGGATTGGATTGGTGGATTGGATTGAGAATTGCCACCTCTAAATAATTTAGTATGTCACCGGAGGTAGGCTGGCCGAGGAAGGCATTTTAGAATGCGATGATATTACGTTGGAGCATGGTTGAAATAGGCTGGAATTTGGATTGATGAGCAGGCCAGTTAATTATTAGGTTGGAATTAGGATGGTGATTGGGGAAACATTGGTTATTGGGTCCTGGTCACGTATTTGGAAGGGGAAATGAACATGGTTCAGTAAGTCATTGTTTAACTAATGATAATTTGAGGGTTGTGACATGGAATTGGTGTACGTGTAAGCTAAGGGCACGAGTCATTATTCATTGCATTTGGGCGATGAAAATGGTAATATGGGGTAGTGATTATACAGAAGTGGGAATGGGTTAATAAGTCGCTGAAGTGGGGTTATTGCTATCCTATTAGCTGCTAATGAAATGTATGCCCAACACTAGGGGAAGAATATGTGAACGTCATGGAAGTCGGCAACGGATTCGGAATGCGATGGCATATCAAAAGTGTATGGCTAGTCAGGTGAGTGTAAAGGGGTAAAATCTCCGTCGAGGTCTTTTATTTTATGTCGTTATTTTACGAATGATGTTTGGCTTCCCACCACTCCTCCTTCTAGGCCGATTTTGCTTCCTGGGGTTGTCTTACCTGACTCTTTTGTTTCTTGCCTAATAAATCATGGTCAAGGTACTTGGAAGGAGAACGTGCTTTCACACCTCTTTGATTCTGCCACTGTCCAGCTAATCTTGTCTATTCCTCTGCCAATTTTTCCTGTGGCTGCCGTTTGATTTGGCATTATGAAGTTTCAGGCGAATATTCTGTGAAATCTCGGTATCGTTTAGCTGCGGTTCAGTACGTTGATGATTTTTCCACAATTCCATCGTCTTTTGATTCTCGCTCTTTGAAGTTTCTATGGTCTCTTCCTGTTCCCCCAAAGCTTAAATTTTTTCTTTGGCGCGTGGTTAAAGGTTTCCTCTCGGTTCGAGATGTGCTTCGTGATAAGGAACTGGTTGCTGATGATGATACTGAGGCTTACGCTTGCTGTCTGTGGTGGTGCGGCTGAGACTCTTGCTCATTGTTTTTTCGATTGTTGGATTGCTTTGGAGTTGTGGGAATTGTTGGGGTACAACCATATTCTTGCTCAAATTCGCTTGTGCCATGTTGCGATTGGTTGGCGTAGGATATTTTTTGATGCAGGTTTATCCAAAGTTGAGATTTCGCGGTTGGTTTTTCTGTACTGGAGGCTCTGGAAGTCCAGATGTTCGGCTACTTATGATGGTATTCAGTATTTCTCCCATGTTTTATCACGTCATTATTACTCTCAGGTTGCTGAATGGGAGCTAGCACGGGCGCATCCGGTGAGATCCTTGCCTCGCGGTTCTTCTGCTTCTAGTGGGGTTTTACCTCGTGATCAACCCCCTCCTTCCATACCTCCCGGTGCAGTATTGGTACACTTTGATGGTGCCACCAAATCTTTGGTCGGATGTGCCATTGGTTTTGTTGGCTTTGCTGAGGCGAATCACTCCATTTTCTCTTGGGGGCGCTTTATTCCTAATATTGATGACCCATTTCTCGCAGAGCTCCTGGCCCTTCGCGACTCTTTACGTTGGTGCATGGCTCACTCTTTCACTAATGTTTTGTTTTGTGGGGATGCGCAAGTGATCGTTCGGCTGATTAATGCGAAGAACTCAGCGCACGCGGTGGGTGGAGCTCTCCTGCAAGAGATCAGGTGTTGCGGGCTTCTTTCCTTCGTGCTACGTTCCATTTCGCTCCCCGTAGGTATAATAGGGCTGCCCATTTCGTGGCAAGACAAGCCCTTGGAGTGATGGTGTAGACACTTGTCGACCATCGTGTTTTATTTATTTAATTTTCCTAGCCTGGTCTTAGGAGGCTTTGTATATTGTCGTATCTTCGCTGCTTCCCTCTCGGGATAACTTTGGCAAAAAAAAAAAATTATGAGTAAGTGTGATTATGTGTGTGAGGCATCCCACCGCCTACTTAAGGTGGAGGTGTGCGTTGTGCTATGTATGTGATGGATGTTTGTATGTAAGATGAACCCACGGGCGGTTGGCCACTACTAGACGCGGTAGATGGTCGGATCGCTGCTGGACGGCGATACGTAACGCAGCAGTTGATCGAGGATATTGGGTCACTACTGGACGGCGATATGTAACGCAGTAGTTGACCGGGCATGGGCTGGACGGCGATAGGTAACGCAGTACCATTGCCTTGAGGATAGCGACACCGTACGGCGATAAGTAACGCGGTGGTCCCTAGTATTTATGTGTATGAGTTAAGGATAGAAGTAAAGAACTTCTATAAGATAAAGTTAAGAGTATACGAGGTTCCATAAGCTATTAAGGAAGTAAGGTACTTAAGGATGAAAGCGAGAACGACTTTCATCTAGAGAAAGGAAATGCTAATAACGTGTTTTAGTAAGGAGTTTGCTTAGGACAAAGACCTTAGGGAGTAACGACGAGACTGACCCCTTCTCACTCACCAGGTTGAGGAAGGGTTAGCAGAGGTGGATTCCGAGAAGAAGTAAGACGAGGCAAGCTGTCACACCAGCATGGACAAGACCTCAGGGAATCAACAAGGAGTTAGAGCTAGAGTTAGTTTAATTATTTTGTTCATGATTATGAGTTTATGTACTGGAGATTCAAGGTTCAAGATTCTGTGTTAAGTTGTTTTAAGTGTTTGAGATTAAGATTTTGCCCAAGTGTTGGGACTTTTCTTTTAAAATTCTTAAATAATGTCAGTTTGTTTATTTTTAAATGTGGTTTGGGTTACTCCTGAATAACCGGTTTTCGGTTTGAGTTATGATTTGGTTTTCAAAAAGATTTGGGGCGTTTCACTCTTCAAGTAATTGGATATGCATCTGCTTGCCCCTTTTGATTCCAATATTAGTCCCTGCACTGCACCTTGTCACTTGACGACACCCTATTTCTTACAGTTATTTGAGCAAGAAGGAACTTGATGTTGTTGTACAAAGCTAAGTGATATTACCTGGCACTATCGAATACATAAACCATATGCAGTGTCTTCAAGCTGAAATACTAAAGAATGATCACAGCTTAGTGGGAACCGAGATACCTCAACATGCCCTATGTTTCGGAAAAAATCACAAAATACGCTAGTTATTTAAAAAAATTCTCAAAATACATAAGTTATAAAATAATTCCCAAAGTACACATGTTTATACATCACTGTCGTCGTCCAAGACAGAGATGTTGATCACCGTCGTCGTCAGCAACAGTGAACATATCACCGTTGTAGAAGAAAACGATGAATACATCACCGCCGTATATCAAAATGGCGAACATATCACCGCAGTCGTCAACAACAATGAATATATCACCGAAGTTATGAATAACGGTGAATAGCTCACTGTTGTTGTGGAAAACGGTGATTGTTTATCACGTTTTCCAGCCCTGATAAGTGAAAAATTAGGTCACAGCGACCTAGCATTCACCGTTGTAGGCGACGACGATGATATGTTCACCGCAGTTGTCCATTGTAGTGATTAGTCCATCTGGTTTTCATATAAATAATCCATCCCTCACGTACCTGCCTCAAAATCTGCCCCATTCGACTCAAATTGTTGCAAAAATCCCCTTCTCAGCTTGCTTCCAGCAACTACGGTTACAAAAACTCAATATTTTCGGTATGTTATAATTATGTATTGTTTAGATTTTGAAGTTATAATAATTATATGTCTGTCTATAATGAATTGCGGTTAGTGGCAACTGGCAAATATGTTATGTTAGAGATATGTAGATTAATTATGGTATGATTGATGTTAATTAGTTATGAATTTAGATGAATTTGTATAGTATTCTCATGTTATTGTAAAGCTAATTATGGTCCATGTTCGATAGTTAGTTGCGGTTGTTTATGGGTTTGCATGATATTATTTTCGTAGCCCTAAGTAATAATTATACTATACTAATTTTGTTCGAGTTAAGCTAATAGTTACTTATTATAAATTGCAGACATGAGTAAATTTAAGAAGTTTCGGCTTATTATTCGGTGGAATGGTCGAGTGACAAACTCGGACATTGGGATCGATTATGAAGATAGTGAATCCACTATGCTAAAAATTGAGTCGAGATTCACGTGGCAAGAACTCCGTGAAATTTGTGCATAAAGGATATGTATGGGCGCACAGACGAGAGTTGGTAAAATTACTTACCGGTATCCAAACATGAGTGTTGGCGGAGTTATGTACATAGAAGTTGTCATAAATGATGATGACGCGTTGAACATGATGATACAATTCCACCAAGGCTTATCAAACTCAGCACGATAAAACAGTAAAGAGTGCTGAGACTGGTGGTCGTTTGTATTTTGCTCCGATCCACCTTATTAAGGAAAAGTGCGCATATAAGATCTTTTTAAAGCATAGAGGCTATGCATGTGAGAATTTCTTCAACACTTTCTTAATCAATTTAAGTAATAAATCTAAATTCACTAAAATTGCATACTTGGAATAAATCTATATTCACTAAATTTGCATACTTGGAATATATCTAAATTCACTAAAATTGGATACTCAGAATATATCTAAATTCACTAAAATTGCATACTATGGATAAATCTAAATTCACTAAATTTACATACTTGGAATATATCTAAATTCACAAAAATTGCATACTATGGATAAATCTAAATTCACTAAAATTTCATACATGGAATATATCTAAATTCACTAAAATTGCATACTTAGAATAAATCTATCTTAAATTAAATTTACTTGACACTATAGGGGGGATTTGCTACATCTCATAGCTCCTCATTTGGCAACCAGAATTCCAACGGATCTCGAGGTGAGAACATCAGAAGATGCTCCCATGCCTAGACCTGGAGTACACAGCTCTCGGTAGATCCCAGCTAAGACGGCCGACCCCAACTCTTTCTCATGATCTCGTCCCAATCACCAAGGAGCAACAACAACCACATGCCTTGTATCCACCGGGTTGCCTCGTCGGGGAACAGAAATCCACCAACCAAGCCAATGAGGTAGACGCGTGCATACCGCTCCACTTAATCTTCGGGTGTGTCTAGGCCTAAATGAACCTTTTCTCGTATGTGTTCAACGAGCCACAAGATCGATACTTGACCCGCATTGAGTGGTGGATGCCCAACCACTTCGACGAGCATTGTGGCCGGCATGTCGAACCCCAAGCGCTGGAGAATCAACGACCCCCAGCCATCTTTGGTTTTTCTCGAGTGGCCTATGATGGCCTCTCCAGTGACCGGCAGCCCGGTGAGGATGGCAACGTCTCTGAGGGTGATCGACATTTCCCCCTCGAGAAAGTGGAAGGTATATTTCTCGGGGCGCCATCGCTCTGTCATTGTCGTCGGCATATCGTTGTCGATATCAATCCGCATGAAGTGCCTCATCATGTCCAATCTCGTCCTCTCTAGATAGGGCGAGAGTCGAGCATGCCAAGGGGGCAATCGTGTTGTCCCTCGATGACTAACGAAAATAAGTGATTCCTACAAAAAATAACAAACCAAAAAACACAATGTTGTTAGTCAAAGGAAAGAAAAATAAAAACTTTTAAAATCATGAAATAATTTACAAATTTATACGGTACGGAGTGTCTACCGGATTGTTGTCCCAAATTGCACGGGAGCGATGTTGTTCCTGCTCGGTTAAATACCTTTTATCACTTGGGCCAGGATCGATATACAATCGATGGTCGTATATCTCAGCACCCATCTGTAAAAAAAATTTGAAAGAAATCAGATTATTTCGAACCCATTTTAAAAAATCACAAAATAAGAAAAAAAGTACGTACTCTCAAAGCCTCTTTGGTCATTTTTTGGCGAAAGCTGGAGAGAGTATCGACGGAAATTTAGATCGAAGGATTGTAAAAAACTCTAGTAATTGTTTTTTATGTGGAAGATATGACTTAGCCGCAACCATAGAGCATACATAGAACGAAACTAGAGTGAAAGAATGGAGGGAGAAAGAAGTATCGAATGGTGGTGTGGTTTGGAATGAAGGGGAGGAGTGGTATTTATAGGGGAAGGGGCACTAGAAATTCTTCACAGAGTCATCACCGCAATCGAGGACTGCGGTGAAGAACCCGCTTTTCTCGAAGACGGGGAAGTGCACGGATCGCTGACGTGAGACGTTGTGAGGCGTCGGATCTGGGAGAAAAGCCAGAATCCGCGCCTCACCGCATCTGACGCCAACGGTGAAGGACGCGGTGCGACTCGGATTGGTGACATGGACAATGGGGCTTTCCCCGCTTTTGACAATAATGGTGACTGGCCCGCGCTCGTCCACGCCAGCGATCCGCGTCCCCCACCCCTTCACCGTAGCCGTCCGATGCGGTGAGGCGCAGATTATGGTTTTCTTTCCAGATCCGACGCCTCATAAATGGTGAGTTATTCCCCATTTTTTACGATTGCGGTGATGCGTTCCCCGTTTTCGAGAATTGCGGTGATTCTTTCCCCGTTTTTCTTCACAGCGGTGATATGTTTACTGTCTTCGACAACGACGACTATTTTGTTCACTATTATGGTCGACGACGGTGATGTACAAACATGTGTACTTTGTGAATTATTTTTATAACTGATGTATGACAAAAGCATACGACCGAGTGGAGTGGAATTTTTTGGAAAAAGTCCTCAGGAAGATATGTTTCAACGAGACTTGGATTGAACTAATGATTATGTTCGTGAGAGGTGTGTCCTACTCTATACTGGTTAATGGTCGTCGTTCCCCAGTAATCAAACCTATTAGGGGCCTCAGACAAGGTGACCCACTCTCACCATATTAATTTTTGATCTGTGCAGAAGGCTTCTCGGCCCTTCTGAAGAAACCTGAAAGAGAGCATAGAATCCATGGGATCAAAATTTGCAACAGGGCACCTACTATATCCCACCTACTTTTTGCGGATGATAGTCTAATGTTTGGGAGAGCATCTATTGAGGAATGTGAAGAATTGAAGAGGATCCTGAAGATTTACGAAAGAGAATCTGGGCAAAGCATCAACCTTACGAAATCTGAAATCTCCTTTAGCAGGAATGTAAGGTGGAGCAGGAAATTGGAAATTAGTGGAACTCTAGGGATAATGCTTGTTGAAAAACAGCACAAGTATTTAGGGATGCCTACCGTCATTGGAAGGTCAAAAAGGAAGATTTTTTATGAACTAAAGGAACGAGTGAGGAAAAAGCTGAAAGATTGGAAAAATCTTACGTTATCTGTAGCTGGTAAAGAAGTTTTAATAAAAGCGGTGGCATAGGAGCAATTAATCTATCCTATGATGGTGTTTCAAATTCCAGCAGGAGTTCTCAATGAAATTCAGAGTATGATAGCCCGTTTCTGGTGGGAGCAGAAGCACGAAGAGAAAAGAATCCATTGGATTAAGTGGGAGGAATTATGTAAGCCTAAAGAGGAGGGTGTCTGGGTTTTAAGGATCTTGAAACTGTTAATAAAGCTATGCTGGGAAAGCAGATATGGAACGTGCTCAATCGCCCTAACTCTCTGATGGCCAAGGTTCTCAAAGCAAAGTACTTTCCTAAAAGTAACATTTTGGAAGCCAAACTTGGGTACAATCCAAGCTACATTTGGAGAAGTTTGTTCAAAGCCAAGGAAGAAATTTTAGAGGGTTTCCGTTGGAGAGTGGGGGATGAGGAGAAGATCAATGTCTGGGAAGACTAGTGGATTCCAAACATTAGGAGAATTTAGCCTTCAAATCTGAACGAGGAGGTGGATATGAATATGAAAGTTGGTTTCCTTACAGTGGAATATATAATGAAGGGTGGCGCCAGCATCCCAACTTCTCTTTGAATGGTAATAACAGCAACACCACTAAACCACCTGGTTTCCCAGCACCAGCTGGTGGTTTTCAACAGAGGCAGCCTTTCTAGCACCAGCAAACCACCTTCACCTGCCCTTTCGACACATTCGCTTACCGGAGGATCCCATTCGGGCTTTGCAACGCCCCAGCCAATTTTCAGCGCTGCATGCTCGCCATCTTCGACCGACTGGTCGGCGAGATTATGGAGGTGTTTATGGATGACTTTTTGGTTTATGGGGACTCATTCTCTCATTGTCTCCATAACCTAGAACTCGTCCTAAAACGGTGTGAAGAGAGGGACCTGGCACTGAGTTGGGAGAAGTTTCACTTCATGGTTCGCGAAGGCATAGTTCTGGGGCATAAGATCTCCAAGATGAGGATTGAGGTGGACAGAGCCAAGATCGAGACCATCAGTAAGCTGCCTCCTCCCACATCTGTTAAGGGGATCCGCAGTTTCTTGGGCCATGCAAGGTTTTACAGGCGGTTCATCAAGGATTTCTCGAAGATCGCTTTGCCCCTAACAAAGCTCCTTGAGAAGGATGCCCCCTTCCAGTTCACTAATGCATGCACAGCGGCATTCACGACCTTGAAGGGGAAGCTCACTCATGCTCCTATCATGGTCACTCCTGACTGGTCCCTACCGTTCGAGTTGATGTGCGATGTCAGTGACTTTGTTGTTGGAGTTGTCTTGGGGCAGAGGCAAGATCAACACTTCCGTCCTATCTACTACGCCTCGAAGACCCTCAATGATGCCCAGGAGAACTACACTACCACGGAGAAGGAGCTGCTTGCGGTGGTGTTCGCCTTCGATAAGTTTCGTCCTTATATGATCTTGTCCCATGTGACCGTATACACAGATCACTCCGCAATACGATACCTTATGAGTAAGGCCGATGCCAAGCCTAGGCTCATACGATGGATCCTATTACTGCAGGAGTTCGACATTGAGATTCGGGACAAGAAGGGAGCCGAAAATGTGTCTGCTGATCACCTCTCCTGGTTGGACGCATCCCCTGCAGACAACCTCTAGGAGGAGATCAACGACTGCTTCCCAGATGAATGACTGATGATGATGTGCTTGGTGGAGAGTATCACCCTTTGGTACTCTGATTTTGCTAATTATTTGGTGGGCCAGCAGCTACCTAAGGGGATGACGACTCACGCCAAGAGGAAGTTCTTCTCCGACCTGAATCACCACTTCTGGGATGACCCTCATCTCTTCAGGATCGGAGCCGACGGGATCATCCGTCGTTGTGTCATGGAAAATGAGATGGAGGGCATTCTGTCTCATTGCCATGAAGGACCTACTGGAGGGCACCATGGCGGTAACCGCACACCGAGAAAGGTGCTACAGTCGGGCTTCTAGTGGCCCACACTCTTCAAAGATGCAGACACATTCGCACGCAGGTGCGATCGATGCCAGAGGTTAGGTAACATCTCTGCCCGTGATGAGATGCCCCAGAATGTGTTATAACCTGTGAGATTTTTGATGTCTGGGGTATCGACTTTATGGGTCCCTTCCCTCCATCATTTGATAATAGGCAAAATACACTTGTATAGCCATAACTTTCACGTTTTTGACAAATATAGCCATATCTATTCGAAAACACAAAATAGCCAAGAAAATGGATGGTCGTGTGACAAATCTAGCCATTTTCGTTAGAAACTTTAATGGTGTTAGAAACTCCGTTAGTGAGGTTAACGTTAGGTTGACTAGGATCCCAAATCATCGCACACGTCAGCGACCAGTCAGCGTATCATTGCCACGTCATTATAAATTATTAAAATAATTAATTTTGAAATATTAAAATAATTAATTTTGAAATAAAAAAATTTACTAATTTTTTCCCTTCCCTACCGATTCAACTAGCATCAACCCAGACACTCCCCGCCGCCTGCTACCCAAACCCATTGTTCACTAGAAAACCCCAAAAAAATTACCCCTATTCTTTTAACCAGAACCCTTATAATAAGCTCAAATCCCCTTCCTCATCCAAATCCACCAATTTATTATGTTCGCCAACAGAGTAATGGTGGATTCGTTGATCCAGAGAGGAGAATCTCTCGCCAGCAACGTCAATAATATCGGAATCAAGAATTGGGGTTTGGTCTTATTTCCTACCGTTTTAGTCCCTTCCTTTCCTGCTACCCAGTCGGCGTATCTGAAGGCTACAGCGATGAGGTCTGATCCTTCCCTGTCGCTGACCTCTTTGATCTCGTGAACGCGTTCCTCGAAAGAGAATACAAGACCACAACGAGAAACAGCAGTCCCAATCTTTTGCGACAACAACGGCGCTGGATCTCTTCTGAACCGCAACATGTGTAGCCTTCGGAAGATGGGATCGAAAGCCCTCCAACGCTATCGATGAAGGATATTTGTTATGTAATTGAAATCCTACTTCAAGTCTTGATTCGCAGACCCATTGTTGGTAGGGGAAGAAGAAGGCCTGTGGAGTAGTTGCAGCCGCCGTGGGCTTTGGATTGGGAACGACGATTAAGAAGTGGGATTTAACTGTGGGGACGTATCTGGCAGAGAGGAGGTGGTCGTGGGTTCTCAAGATTTCGATGACTTCTACTGGGGAAGAGGCGATGAGCTGGTGGCCCAGCCGGAGGTGGTGGTCGGTTCTTGGATGACGACGAGGATGTTGATAGAGAGTGGGAGGAGAAGAAGATAAGAGTTGCCCAGATTGCTTTATGATTTTTTATTTTAATTTTCGATCTCTTCCCCAGTTGCCCCGTTTCTTTATGATTTTATTTTTATTTTTTTAATCCACGTCAGTTGGCGGGGACAGTAAATCGCCAGATCAGCATCTTCCGTTTGTACAGTCATACCGTCAACTGACATCGTTAACAAAATGGACGGAATTGGTTATTTTTTATTTTCGAATAATTATGGCTGTATTTGTCACAAACGTGAAAGTCATGGCTATACAAGTGTATTTTGCCTTGATAATACTTACATCTTAGTTGTTGTTGATTACGTCTCTAGGTGGGCCGAGGCGCAAGCTTTGCCCACCAATGATGCTAGACGTGTTTGTCAATTTTTGAAGCATCCATTCTCCCGATTCGGGACACCTAGAGCCATCATAAGCGATCGGGGCACCCATTTCCAGGGCTAGTTTGATAAATTATTGTCTCGCTATTGTGTCACTCATAAGGTGTCCGTGTCCTACCACCCTCACACGAGTGGTCAGGCCGAGCTGACGAATCGGGAGCTTAAGCGTATACTGGAGAAAACGGTGGATCAATCTCGCAAGGATTGGTCCACCAAGCTCGATGATGCTCTCTAGGCATACCGGACTGCCTACAAGATGCCGATTGGTACTTCGTCGTATCAGCTTGTCTATGGAAAGACATGTCACTTGCCAGTGGAGCTAGAGCACAAGGCCTTCTTGGCCCTTAAGCTGTTTAACTTGGATGTTAGTCTTGCAGGTACTGAACGAAATATGCAGATGCTGGAGCTGGAAGATTGGTGCTACCACGCCTATGAGAACACCAAGCTATATAAGGAGTGAACTAAGCGTCTTCACGACGCTTGATTAAGGGGTCCAAAGGAGTTTCAAGTTGGTAATCGAGTTCTCCTCTTTAACTCTCGCCTGAAACTCTTTCCTGGAAAACTCCGCTCCCGGTGGTCTGGACTGTTCACGGTCACACAGGTGTTCCCATATGGTACGATCAAGATTGCCAACCTGCAAACTGAGCCGTTTAAAGTGAATGGTCACCGTCTCAAGCTCTATCTTGGAGACGAGGTCGAACGTGCGGAGTTGGTGATTGAACTCGCGGATCCTTAGTTCAGCCATGGGCGTCCAACTAAAAGACGGTAAAGAAACGCTTGTGCGGAGGCAACCACACCACGGTTTGAATTTCTTTCCTTTTTTCATTTTTGATTTTGTCGGTTTTTTTAGTCATTGATTCTGTCTGGAGTCTGTTTGGAAATTATCTCATGCCCTGGGCGGTCTGTTTTTATCTGTGGCTGAGTATTTTTCGAGCCGGGTCACGAATGAGTTTTGGTTGTTTAAAATTGTGATTTTGAATTAGTGCAGAGGCTGGCTCGGCAGTAAAAACACGGGCGCCAGGGGTTGAAAACACGGTCGTGTTTCTTCCCCTATCCTTCCGTGTTTCACCCGTTCCAAGAGCACAACCTCACACTATAAAACACGGGCGCCAGGGGTTGAAAACACTGCCGTGTTTTGACCCCTGCATGCCCGTGTTTTTAAAGAGGGAGAGCACGGCCTCGGAGGTAGAAACACGGGCGTGGAACACGAAGAACATGGCCGTGTTTTCGCCCGCCCGTGTTTTATTCTCCCCTATAAATTTTGAAATCTGCTCCCCTCTCTCCTCAAACCTCATTTTGTCAAAAACCTCTCTTCCTCCCCTCGTCGGAAAGTCGGCCTTCTCCTCTTCTCTAGTGGTTTTCCGGCCAAATTTCCCTCCCTCGACCTCCAAATTAAACCGAGACCACCACCACGCTCCTGGCTACAGGGAGCACATTCCCTAGAAGTTTGGTCCTGTTTGGTGGAGGTTGGGTCGCCGGCGGGGAGTTTTCCAGCGAATTTGGAGTGTTTTTTCTCTCTTCTTCACCTTCCTTGTGGTATCTACTTGCGTCTCCAGGTGTGTTTTCCTTGTCTCTTAGTCTATTTTGGAGAATTGATACCTAGGGTTCTCGGTGAAGAACTTGAGATTTTGGCATGAACTTAGAATGATTTGGTAGGCCGATGGTGATATTTCCTTGCTATTATTGTTCCCTGGAATTAGTTTCGTTGGCCTACCATTTGTATGTATGGAATTGTGCTCTTGACTGCTTGTTTGGAATATGTTTGGTGAATGGCCGATTGTTGGATATTTGTGATCGGATTGTGTGTTTGTTCCACCGGGAGCCTAGTCCACTGTCCACATCTTTCGATTTGAGGGCTCCCGGTATGTTTTTGGATGGTTATGGTTGTGCTTAGCGTGCTTGTCCCACCGGGAGCCTAGTACATTGTCCATATCTTTCGATGTGAGGGCTCCCGGTGTGTTTTTGCCAAACATTAACCCACTTCGCTTGTGTGGCATTTGTGCGTTATTTTGCTTTGGAGGATCATGGAGGACTACCTGGACCTCTTGAGCATCACTCAGCGCCACCTGCTGCGGACCATCCGCACTTGCCACCTGCTGCAGACTGTCTAAGAACCTCCCGTAGTATAATTATCTTTGAATTTGAACTTGGCGAATTACAACGTGGTTTAACTGTAGTCTAGGGGGAACCATATCTGGGTGACCTCTCTCAACTTTGAACACAACCCTTTACTGCTTTTGCTTGCTTGTTTAAGTAGACCTTCACTACACTTAAACCACTAAATAATAAGAACTCACGGAGTAGTCATCACACCTAGCACCCGGGTTGACATTTAAACCCAAACTCGCTATGCTATGCATTAGTAGGTGGTTATACTTGGTCACTTTCTAGTGTGACGGTACAGGCGTGTCAGTATACAATCAATTTTAATCTCAATCTCAATCCCTACATAAACTAGCTTGTGTCCCGGCCTATTGGCCGGATACTCATACCTAGGTTGGTAATTATATTAGGGTATCAAAGGTTCAGATCAGACCAAACCATTAAAATTGCAGTTTGATAGTAAAAGAAATTGGAATATCAAGAACCAGATTATCATTGCATTTGGTCCGATTCAAATATTCTCATTTTTTCAATATTCATAAAATTCCTGAACTAACTGCATTATATTCGATCCGATTGGTATGATCCAAATTTTGGTTTGATATGGTTTCGTTCAAATCGTTGCACACTGATAGAAACACGTTTATTCGGGTTTGTATCTTTATCATTATATTAATTATGAGGATTTATTATTATGGTTAGTAGTATTTGAGTCATATTAGGACAGTATATTAGATTTTTCTAGTATTTCATTATAAATATGTTATTGGGGTTTACGTCATAATAATAAGAAGAATATTAAAAAAAATTCCTAACCCTATTCTCTCTCAAGTCCTCTCAACTTCTCTTCTTTCCCTATTCCGGCTGCCGGCCATTCTATCTTTGTTCTTCCCCCATTCTCTTCTCAGTCCCTAATTCTACCTTTCAATCCCTAAATTCCCAAATATCACCCAATTCAAATCTCGTTAAAAACTTTGTTTCTAACACACACCCCACTTTAGATATCTCTAATGTTAAGATTCTTCACTCTTATAGTTCAAGAAAATGCCCCGTATATACAACATATTTCTTTTTTTTTTTCAATTAAACAAGAAAAAATTAATTGTTTATTTAGTGGTGGTTTGAATCTAGGATTTGATATTGTCCAAATCTAATGTTTGGTTGAAGAAAAGAGTGAGTACCCCCACTTTAGATATCTACATTTATACGGAATTTTCAAGAAATAATCAATGTCACTTGGGAGAAATAATCAAAATCTTGATATTAAATGACCTTGTTACCCCATATATTTTTATTATTCTACTTTTACCCTCAATTAATGATATGAGCTTGGATTGCTTCTATTCCAAGTTAGAATTGTTTGTTCAAGAAGCTAAGCTAACTCATTTGCACAATCTGAATTTTTGGCTAAGTATTATGATGAGTTCAGGTAGCCGACTTTGCGAGCTCGAAACTTCCAACTAGGTTGATGGAAATTCGAGGTTAAGGTGTTGTTTTGAAGATAAACACTTCCTCTACAAGATGACATGGGATTCGGGTTCATACAAGATCGTTAAGGCTGTGTTTCAAGGCCTCAAAGTAGCTGTCTCAAAACTGTCAAACTGCCAGAATTTGGCCAAGTCTGGAGGCATGGTCAGGAAGGTCACTTTGGAGCTCCATTCAGGGAAGATGGGTTCGAATCAGGGAAGGATCTTTGTACCACATGAAAGTGTGTTTGTTTGTCTACAGAAGCAAGGTATTGGCTAAGGAGATGGAGACCTGGAGGCATGTGAACGTGGGGGTCAAAGTTGCTATTGAACCTGTTTTGGAGGCAGCTTACGTGAGCTACAAGTTTTGGGTTTTATGGACGAGTTGGGATTCCTTTTCTGTTTGGGTTTGTTACCTTTAGACGTAGTAGGACTAATTAGCTTTCCTTGTTTGTTTTGTACTCGAATTAGGTTTTAGTTTGCTTATTTAAAGACCTACAAACTCCATTGTAATCGTTAGACATTAATCAAATAAGAACTTGTTCATTGAGTTTTTAACTCGTGGATTGTCCTTGTTGCTTGGTTCAAATCGCCAACAACGAGCGAGCCTTGTATCGATTTAGTCATCACCTCAATCGTGGTCGGGTGGCTACCTTGAATTCGGTTGAGCCTCTTTCCCACGCGTGGTGTTGAAGT